ATCAGTGGACAGAAAGTTACAAACTTCTGCGCAGCAATTTGTCCTGAGAGCTCTGTCCCTTCTCTCCTTTCTCTGGGGCTGCACTTGCTAGGCTACCGGGGCTGAGATAACCCTCACTGTGTCAGTCCTGTCAAGCCAAGGCCACTTAGCTGCCTGCTTCAGTCATAACATGAACGTTGAAAACTCCTTTGGAATATGAGGGTATGAAGACACTTGACAACTATAACAATTTCAGTTATAAAGCTGGTTACACTAACAAGGACTTGAGAATGTACAGAACCTGTGACCACGTCTAACTACTACCACTGGGTCCTCCCTGGCCTGGGCCACCATATTTGCCACAGTGATGGCTACATCAGCCTCCTGGCTGGGCTTCTACTGATTTGTTTTTGTAAATTTACTCCATTCACTACTTATAAATTGTAGGAGACCAAGCACCAGGCTTAAAGAAGCAGCCACCAGCTCTTGAACAAGGCACTGGGAGCCAGGCAATCTCCTAGCTGGGGTGGAGATGTTTGCAGCCCAGAGCTCATTAGCAAGCAACCTTCCTAGGGCAACAGGATTCTAGCATGGGGTCCCACTCCTGCTGTATCAGGCTTCAATAAAAGGCTAAGAAAGAGGTTTCTCAGGGGCTCTCCCTGGAGTAGGGAAGCCCCCCTCTTGCAGGCATTTGTACCTTCAATCTGTGTTTCCAGCAGTTTTTATTCGCGTGGTGATAGGGTGCCACAATGGGCACCCATAATTAATGCCATCACCCCAAGTTTGAAGATGTTTGACCAGGTGTAGTGCCTCACCCTTGTAATCCTAGCACTCTGGGAGGCCAATATGGGCATTTGCTTGAGCTCAGGAATTTGACAACAGCCTGAGCAAAAGGGAGAAATCATCTCTACCAAAAAAAAAAAAAGAAAGAAAATTATCCACAGTCTGGGCGTGGTGACTCATGCTTGTCATCCTAGAACTCAGGGAGGCCAGGGCAGGTGTATTGCCTGAGCTCAAGAGTTGGAGACCAGCCTGAGCAAGAGTGAGACCCTGTATCTAAAAATGTCCAGGCCTTGTCACTAGCACCTGTAGTCCCAGCTGCTTAGGAGGCTGAGACAAGCAATTCAATAGAATCACCTGAGCCCAGGAATTTGAGATTGCTCTGAGCTATAACACCATGGCACTCTACCAGGGGTACAGAGAGACTCTGTCTCAAGAAAAAAAGAAAGAAAAGAAAGGTAGCCAGGTATTGTGGTGGGCACTTGTATTCCCAGGTACGGAAAAAGTTGAGTCTGGAGAATCACTTGAGGCAAAGACTTTGAGGTTGCTCTGAGCTATGATAATGCCATAGCACTCAACCCAGGGCTACAGCGTGAGACTCTGTCTCAACAAAAACAAAAACCCATAAAGAAATATTATTTGCACATTATTTAATGAGTTCTGATTTATATGTAAAGACAGCCTTCTTCAAATGCTTTATTTGTTTGTCCTCTATTAGCTTTTGTCTTCTCTTTTAATCAACCTAAGTGTTCTTTGTTATACAGTGAGGGGACACTGGCCATCAAGTCCTAAAATATACTCTGCTTCTTCCTAACATTTTAAAATTTGAAGATATTCTCGCTGAAGGAATGTCACTTCATAAGGGAGATCTCTATTTTATATTTTTTTAATCAATTGTCTTTCTAGTAGAGCTAAAATTTTAGCTGGAGATTATATTTTCTTAGTCTTCTCTGAAAACTGAGTAAACTTATTATTGCCCTGTTTTATGCTTTATTTCAATTCTATGTATTTGTGGTTTTCAGAATAAAGTGCTTTGGAGTATCTCTGTATTCCTATGGTATTTTTATTTTTAATGTCATTTCTTTTTTGAGATAGAGTCTCACTAGGTCGCCCTTGGTAGATGGCCATGGCTTTACAGCTCACAGCAACCTCAAACTCTTAGGCTTAAGCAATTCCTCAGCCTCCGTAGTAGCTGGGACTGCAGGTGACTGCCCCAGTGCCCAGCTATTTTTTTGTTGTAGTTGTTATTGTTGTGTGGCAGCCCAGGTTGGGTTTGAACCTGCCAGCCCCGGTGTATGTGGCCAACACCCTAGCCACTGAGCTACAGGCTCCAAGCCTTCTATAATATTTTATAAATAATCATGGTCTATGAACTTTTATTTTATATATGTAGACAGAGTCTCACTTTATCGCCCTCAGTAGAGTGCTGTGGTGTCACATAGCTCACAGCAACCTCCAACTCCTGGGCCCAAGTGATTCTCTTGTCTCAGCCTCCAGAGTAGCTGGGACTACAGGCGCCTGGCACAAGGCCTGGCTATTTTTTTTGTTTCAGTTTGGCTGGGGCTGGGCTCGAACCTACCACCCTAGGTATATGGTGTTGGCACCCTACCCACTGAGCCACAGTTGCCGTCCTGGGTCTATGAACTTTTATCTGCAATAAATATCTACAACTTTGTCACTTGACATTTCTATGCTAAATGTTGTTTTTATATAATGCTTTTTTTGTTTGTTTTTTTGCCATTTTTTTTTTTTTCTGGCCGGGGCTGTGTTTGAACCCACCACCTCCATCATATGGGGCTGGTGCCCTACTCCTTTGAGCCACAGGCACTGCCTTGTTTTTATATAATGCAATAGGTGGATCAAGTAAATTGTACGGTTGTTGTAGAATATAAAATTTGAGTTGCAAAAATAAAGAAAAATATATATTTTTTTCACATAAAGAAATTATGTAGGCTGGCTGCAGTGGTTTATGCCTGTAATCCGAGAACTCTGGGAGGCTAAAGGTGATGAATTGCATGAGCTTACAACTTCAAGGCCAGCCTCAGCAAGGAGACCCCGTATCTACTAAAAAGAGAAATATGTGCCATGTGTAAAAAGAGCTACAGAGTTTGTTAGGTAAAGCCCATGTTGTAGCTGAGCCCTTCACCCGGGAGGTGCACCATGTACCCCTACGTCGTGCCGGTTAGTTGGGAGCGTAAGTACCACCTCCTGCATGAAGCCTCCAGCAATGCCAACCTGCTGACTAGAGACTTGACCTAATTTCACCCTTCTCTGAACTACCATAGCCTTTACTTGTAAGTCCTAATGTCGTTCATCTGTGCATCAGGTGACTAAGTTGTTTCTGTGCATGTTTTTAGCTAAACTTTATGATGTACATTCAAAATGCCTTCAAAGTACAGTCTAACTCCTGTTTAAGTATGTGCCCAAGCCTTGCACAACTGAACACTCAGTGAACAGACTTTCATTCCTTTAGTCAAAATTTGTGAAACAGGTACTCTTTAGCAAGAGTATATCCAGTGGCCCTGGAATATCGAGATGAATAAAGTCACAGTCCCTGCCCTTAATCAATAAAAGGAAAAGGAAAAAAAAAGTGCGGTGGTCAAGAAACTGTTAGCACAAGCAAGATGGAGAGCTGGACCAGGTGACAATGCATGGCTGTGCCCCAGGCTTTCCTACTGGTGACCCTCCATGAGCTACTAGTAGTGCCTTAATGGAGCCCTCAGCCTGCCCTCAAAGCTGGGCTGAGGGCTTCTTGGAGGAGGAACTTCAGTTCAACACTGAGCTGAGCCAGCTGCAGTTTTCAGAGCCAGGGGGCATCATCTTCAATCCTGTGGAATATGCCTGGGAGCCACATCGCAGCTGTGTGACTCGCTACTGCCAGGGCCCCAAGCAAGTGCTCTTCCTGGGGATGAACCTGGGACCTTTTGGCTTGGCCCAGACTGGGGTGCCCTTTGGGGAAGTGAGCATGGTCCAGGACTGGTTGGGCTTTCGGGGGCCTGTACTGAGTCCTCCCCAAGAGCACCCTAAACGACCAGTGCTGGCACTGGAGTGTCCACGAGCAGAAGTCAATGGGCTTTTCCAGAATCTCTGTGGACAGCCTGAGGTTTTTTTCTATCACTGCTTTGTCCACAATCTATGTCCACCGATCTTCCTGACTCCCAGAGGATGCAACCTCACCCCTCTAGAGCTGCCTGCCAAGCAGCCAGAACAGCTTTTTGGGATCTGTGATGTGGCCTTTGCTGGCAGGTGCAGGTGCTGGGGGTGCGGCTGGTGATGGGAGCGGGGCAACTGGCAGAGCAGCGGGCATGGTGGGCTCTCTCAGGGCTAATGCCAGACTTCCAGGTGGAAGGACTGGTGCACCCCTCTCCCCGTAACCCACAGGCCAACAAGGGCTGGGAGGCAGTGGCCAAGGAGAGACTGAATACTTTGGTGATGCTGTCCTTACTCTCAAAATGAGAACCCCTGGGCCCAGGCATAGGAGATGTTTAAGGTCTCCAGGTCATTCTTAGGGAAGTAGATGAAAACCTTATATTCCTTTCCCATTCTCCCGCTGTTCCCTAGCTTGTCATGCATTATTTCCAACAATCGGACTTTTTAAAAACGCCATGGGACGCGGGACAAATTGTTAAAAATCGGGACTGTTCCGCCAAAAGCGGGGCGTCTGGTCACCTTAGGTTAAGCCCAGGAGTCTGAGGTTGCTGTGAGCTGTGACGCTAGGGCACACTACCCAGGGCCACAGCCTGAGAC